GTGTCAACTTATGCAAAGTTTTTGAAAGAAATTTTTCAAAAAAAGAAAGTTTGAAGGTTATGAGACTGTTCCACTTCGTAAAGAGTGCGGTGCAATAATTTAGAAAAAGCTTCCTAAATAACTCAAAGATCCTGGCAGTTTCACCACACCTTGTGCAATTGGAGAAAAATTTTGTGGAAAATCTTTATGTGATTTGGGAACAAGCATTAATCTCTTGTCATTATCTATATTTAGAAGACTAGGTTTAGCAGATATTTCTTCCACTACTGCAACGCTATAGTTAGCTGATCGATTTATATCTTATCCTAGAGGGGATATAGAAGATATGTTAGTTAAAGTGGATAAATTTTTCTTCCCTATTGATTTCATTGTGTTGGATATGGAAGAAGATAAAAAAGATCCTATTATTTTAGGGAAACCATTCTTAGTTACTGGATGTGCAATAATAGATGTGTAAAAAGGAGAATTAACATGAGAGTTAATGATCAGTAAGTAACTTTTAATGTTCTTAAATCAATGAAGTGTCTTGAAAAAGGAAAAGATGGTAAATGTTACATAATGGAAATAATTGACTATATGATTGTTAATCATTTTCAAGAAAGATGTGAAGTCATATGGGATCAAAAAGATGAAGTAACTTTGGTACACAAAAAATTAGAAATTGGAAAAGATTTTGAAAGTAAATTGAAAGAGAAAAAACTGATGAGTTAAATTATGTTCAAGAAGAATTTGAAATTTTGGATATTACTGAAAAATAGTACACCTCTAATTCCTTCTATTAACAAACCTCTGGAACTTTAGATGAAGGTTCTATATACTAATTTAAAGTATCCATTTTCCGGAAACTCGTCTACATTATCTATTATTATATCCTTAGATTTAACTGATGAACAAGAAGGAAAATTATTAGAGACATTGAAAAATTATAAAAAAAAAGTCTTTGGATGGACATTAACTGATATTAAAGAAATCAGTCCTTCAATTTGTATGCACAAAATTTTAATGGAAGATAATTATAAGCCTAGAATTGATCCTCAAAGAAGATTAAATCCTTTAATGAAAGAGGTTGTCAAGAATGAAATTTTAAACTGGTTAGATGCTTGAATTTTTTATCTAATTTCAGATAGTTCATGGGTTACTACTATTCATTGTGTTCCTTAAAAAGGAGGAGTAATTATTGTTGCCATTGAAAAGAATGAATTAATTCCTTCAAAACAAGCCGATGGATGGCGAATCTGTATTGATTATAGAAAATTAAATGTCACCACGTGGAAAGATCATTTTCCTCTACCCTTTCTAGATCAAATGTTGGATGGACTAGTTGGGCACCATTATTTTGCTTTTTGGATGGAAATTTTGGATACCACCAATTATCTATTGCTCCTAGGGATCAAGATAAAACAAAATTTACTAGTTCTTATGGATGATTTGCTGTCAAGTGAATGTCATCTAGATTATGCAATACACCTACAACACTTCAAAGATCTATGATTACTATTTTTTATTATTTAATTGAGAAAGGAATTGAAGTTTTTATGGATGACTTCTCAATTTTTGGAACTTCTTTCAATTCATGTTTAGATCATTTAATGAGGGTTCTAAAATGCTGCGAAGAAACAAATTTTGTTCTTAATTGGTAAAAAAGTCAATTTATGACTGCAGGAGGAATTATTTTGGAACATAAGATTTCTGAGAAAGGCTTGGAAGTAGATCTAGCAAAAATTCATGTCATTGTTGAATTACCACCCTCTTATAATGTTAGAGAAAATAGAAGTTTTGTAGGACATGTTGGTTTCTATAGGTGGTATATTGAAGACTTTTCTAAAATTTCCAAGTCTTTATGTTAACAGTTGGAAGAGATACTAATTTTGATTTTAAGAAGGAATGCCTTAATGCTTTTAATTTATTGAAAGAAAAATTAATCCCTGCACTTATTATTGTTTCATCTGATTGGACAAAACCTTTTGAATTAATGTGTGATACTAGTGACTATGCTATTGGGGCTTTGTTAGGGCAAAAAAAATGTTAATTTTTTTTAAATAATATACTCTACTAGTCAAACCCTTAATGAAGCTCAAGTTAATTACACTACCACTGAAAAAGAGTTATTAGCTATAGTATATGCTTTTGATAAATTTAAACCTTATCTTATTTTAACCAAATGCATTATGCATATTGATCATTCTGCTATGAAGTATTTAATGATAAAAAAAGATTCAAAACCATGATTAATTAGATGGATCCTTCTAATGCAAGAGTTTGATTTTCAAGTTGTGGATAGAAAAGGGTACTGATAATCAAATAGTTGATCATTTTTCAAGGCTTGAAAAGGAAAATGATAATTTAAATGGTGAAATTAATGAAAGTTTTATGGATGAAAAATTTTATGAAATTAATGATTGGCAAATTCTGTGGTATGCTAATATAGTAAATAATTTAGTTAGTAACATTTTACCCTACGGCCTTGATAGCCATCAAACTAAAAAGTTCATTCATGATTCTAAATATTCTTTTTAAGATGACCCTTATTTATACAAACAATGTAAGGACTTAATTATTTGAAGATGTGTACCAATTGAAGAAACATAAGAAATTATACAAAAGTTTCATAAACCAGATTTTGGGGACATTTTGGGGTTGATAGTACTACATTTAAATTTTTACAATTTGGATTTTATTGGCCTACACTATTTAGAGATGTTAATTATTATATAAAAATATGTGATAGATGTCAAAGCGTAAGCAATGTTCCGAGAAGAAACAAAATGCCCAAAAAATTTACTCTTAAAGTTGAAATTTTTTATGTTTGGGGACTACATTTTATGAGACCATTTATACCATATTTTGAAAAAATTTATATTATAGTTCTAAAATTGTTGATTTAATTTGACGTGATGCTAAAATTGTTAATAGTTGTGGATTATGTTTAAAAATGGATTGAAGTGTTTGATTTAATTTGACGTGATGCTAAAATTGTTGCAAATTTCCTAAGGAAAATATTTTTACAAGAAATGGAATGCTGAGAGTAATCATTACAGATGATGGAAGTCATTTTAGTAAATCAAAAATATGGAATCAAACATCAAATTCACATAGCTTATCATACTTAGACTAATGGTTTGGAAGAAGTATCCAATTGAGAAATTAAAAGAATATTGAAAAAAAACTGTGAATCCTAATAAAAGAGATCAGTCTGCTAGACTTGATTTTGCACTATGGACCTATAGGACTGCTTACTAAACTCTTGTAGGAATGTCACCATATAGGCTCATATCTGGAAAAGCTTGTCATTTGCCTGTTGAATTAGAGCATAAAGCTTATTGGGCAATAAAAAATTTTAATTATAATCTGAAAGATGCTGGAGAAAAACAAATATTACAATTAAATGAGCTTGCCGATATGAGAAATGAATCTTATGAGAATGCAAGAATTTATAAAGAGAAAATGAAAATGAGACATGATCAAAGAATTCTGAAAAAGCATTTTGAGCCTGGATAAGAAGTTCTATTATACAATTCATGATTGAATTTATTTAAAGGAAAACTAAGTCTAGATGTTCATGAACATTTATTGTGATAAAAATTTATTCAAATGGAGCAAGAGGCACCAAAACTAACGTTAGAGGCGCTAGAATCCAGAGAACAGCGCGAGCTTCAAAAGGCTAGTGCCAGAGGCACCAAAACTGGCTTTAGAAGCGCCAGAGATGAATTAAGACATATTAAGGCAGTCAGTGACTATATTTTTGAGCAATTTTTGAATGCTCCAAACAATTCAAACACCCCATGGGATAATTCAATAGATCTTGACACTTTGGAAAGGATCTTGAATGAAGGGACTTGTCTCTTGGAGTGAAGAGGTGAGTCTTTTAGGAAAGAAGGAGGGAATTTTAAATTCTTTTTGAAATGAAGGCTGACCCTAATTAAAATAGAGGAGTTTAGAGAAGAAAGGGGGCGAGAGGCTTGAAGAGAGAGGTGACGAGAGAGGGAAGTCGTGGGAGAAGAAAGGATTTTTTCTAGAGTTGTAAGAGGAGAGGGATGGTGAGAGATTTCCTCTTCATTATAGTTCTAAGAGATACTTTAGTGTGACTGTTAAGAGAGAAAGTGCTTAAAGGGAACTTCAAGAGATTTGCCAAAGAACGAGTGTTAGATAAGTTGCGTTCTTTCCTTTCTTTGTTTTGTAAATTTATATATATATATATATATATATATATATACAAAATGTTTGGCGGTTTGGTTTGGTGGTGCTCTGCTAGGGTTTTTGAAGGATGAAAAGTGGTGGCTGCTGGCTGCTGTGGTTCTCTGAGGTGGTGGTTTGTGGTGGTTACCTCTCTACTGACTCCTTTGGTGGTGGTGGAGGTTTTCGTGCGGCTATTTTTTGTTTTACTGTTCTATTGAGTTTCTCTCTATTACTCCCTTACTGTGGTTCCCCACAGGAAAAGGGGGACTGGCTTTTGTTTTTATTTGCCTAGGTTCTCTGGTGGCTGGCATCCACTGTTTGGTCACCTGGTGACTGTTTTATCTCTGCTGCTAGGTGGGAATCTTGATGTCCTATTTAGTGCTTATGACTGCTGTGTGGGACTTTTACTGTTTCATTGAGTGTTGTATCTCTAGATCTAGGTCCCCTATCTTTTGTTTTGCACTGAAGCTGTCTTAATGGAGTTTAGCCCCATTAATGTGGAAGTTAATGCACAGTGGACCCAAGCTACTTATGTTGGTGTAGTTGGCAGAGGGCAAGACTTGCTCAAAAACTTTGACCATCTGGTTTTGCCCCAAGCTTTGCATGATGTTGCAGTTGGCAAGACTACATGCCATTATATTTCTCCTATTTGAGTCAAAGAGGGTGAACCTGCTGTAATTTTTACCCTTGGGGAGATGCAGTCTCTGAATGAATCAATCAAGTTCACCTTGATTGGCAAGTTTCAATTTGGCCATCCAAAAATGGATTTTATTAGAAAATTTTTTGAGGAACTCCAACTCACTGGTGCTTGGTAGCTAGGCTTAATGGATGGAAGACACCTTTTAATCAAGATGTTTAATGAGGAGGATTATGCTAAAGTTTTTGCTAAACAAACTCTCCTAATTGCTGGAACCCCCATGAAATTATTAAAATGGACACCTGGATTTGATCCAAGCAAGGAACCCTTATTTTTTCCAATTTGGATTAAATTTCCTAACCTCCCTATTCAATATTACCACCAAAATGTTCTATTTAATATTGGAAGGGTGCTTGGCTACCCTTTAAAAGTTGATGCCCCAACTTACAATCTGGCTAGACTAGCTGGTGCAAGAGTGCTGGTGGAAAGAGATGTCACATTGCCAGAAATAAAGATGGTTTGGATTGGAACACCTGAGGAAGGGTTTTGGCAAAGCATTAATATGGAACAAAAACCAATATTCTGCCCTAACTGCAGTATGTTTGGACACAATGTGGACAAATGCTATAGGCTGCATCCACCAACTAGAAAAATAGCTCTTAAAAGCATGCCTACTCAGGGAGAGTCTACTGAAACCTTGGGAAAGGATAGCAGAAAAACTAATGAACAGGCAGCAATCAATGGTGAAACTGATATGGCAATCTGTCCTAAGATTCCAAGTATTATTGAAGAGGTCAATGAAATAAATACTCCCACCAAAAAATAGGTAGTGGAGGGCAAACAAAAAGATAGTGCAAGAAGCAAAATAAATATCAGTCCCCAAAAAATCCAAAACTCTACTATGGAATTAATAGTTGAGGTGCTTACTGAAGAATGGCAAGTTCAAAGGAAGAACAGGAAAAAGAAGGGGCAGATGGAATTGAAGCTGCTGCAGGAAGCTCCCTCCTTGAAAGGAAATAATCAGTAAATAGATTCCATACAGAGAATCAGAAGGAAAGGGAGAACCCTTTCACAATGATTAAGTTTTTATGTTGGAACATTAGGGGTGTTGCACACCCCAACTCTCTCACAAGGCTGTTTCACCTGGTGATAACTCAATAAATATGACATTTTTCTCTTTTGGAACCCATGGTTTCTAAGAATTCTTCTAATATTCTCAAAAAATTCTCCAAATTTTCTCACTATGCTAACTATAATAACAAGATTTGGCTATTTTAACTATAATAACAAGATTTGGTTATTTTCCATAACTGAATTAAAGTGGAAGGTTATTCTGAATAGCCCCCAATATCTACATATTTAATTTGTTGTTGGTGCTCAGGTGGGTTATGCTACCTTTGTTTATGCCAGCAGTCTTCCTAGGAATCAATAGTTGTTGTGGAAGGAGCTTTCTCATATCAGCCAGTCCATAAACTCATTTTGGATTGTTGGGGGGGGATGTTAATTGTATTACTTCTCCTGAGGAAAAAAAAGGAGGCAGGCCTCCTTCTTAAACTTCTATGCTGAAGTTTGATGAATTCCTTATAGATGCTAAGTTATTTGATTTGGGTTATTAGGGTCCTAAATACACTTGGAGAAGAGTGGTTCTATGGGAAATGCTTGATAGAATGCTGGGGAACTCTATGTGGCTTCAAACCTTCCCTTATATAGTCATCACACACCTTGTCATGTCTGGGTTAGACCATAGACCCATTCTTTGCTCTATTCAAAATGCTGTGAAGCCTTTGGGATTTAAAGAGTTTCAGCACATGAGTTTCATTAACTTATGTAAACTCTGGATTAAATTTAGAGCCCAAGATAGCCTTTGGGCTATTTTGATGAAAGGGAAATATTGTAGAACTGCTCACCCAAGCCTGGTTATCGAAAAGCTGGGTGATTCTAGACTTTGGGATAAACTGTTAGAGGTTAGAGAGCAAGCTGAGGAGACCTTCATCTGGGAGCTGGGGGAAGGTCAAATAAATTTTTGGTTTGATAAGTGGACTTGGAATGGTGAAAAAATCCAAATCCTGATCTCAAATCCCAATACACATGATATGGTTAAAGATTACTCGAATGAGAATCAGTGGAATTACACACTTCTCTCTAATATTCTAAACAGTGAGCAGTTGCATTTGGTCCAGCAAACACCTATTTATCCTCAACAAAGAGATAAAATTGTTATTAAAAAGCCAATTCTCAGAAAGTTGCTTCTTATATCTATCAAACCTTCTTTCAATAGCCTTTTGTTCAATGGGGCACTGATATTTGGGGGAAACATCTAACCACTTCAATGTCTTTCTTCATCTGGAGATTATGGCATTCTATGCTCCCAATAGATGATATCTTAAAAATGAAAGGGCTGAGGGGGACCTTCTTATTGTCTTCTGTTCCATAAGTAGGAGGAGAACTTGGATCACCTCTTCTTCAAATGCAATTTCTCTCAAAAAGTTTGAACTGAGTTATTGATCACTGTAAAAACTGATACAATTAATCTCAGTTGGATCAACTTCTACAACTGCCGGGAAGAGTGGAAATAAATCAAATTACAGGTTATCCATTGTGTAGTGGCTTGGTTTATTTGGATGTACAGAAATATTGTTAAATATGAAGATTCAACACCACTTGCTAAAGCTGTGACTACACATTGCACATCTTACCTACAGAAAATCATTAAATATCACAATTTCCCTAATATCTTTAGGAATTGGGTTCCTCAAGCTGGTAATCAATATAACTTCAGTTTCTCATTGATTGAATAGGCTCCTCCTCCTGATGGCTGGATCAAAGTTAATACTGATGAAAGTTTTTTAAAAGGATTTGCTGGTTGTGGTGGTGTTTTAAGAAACTCCCTAGGACATCATTTTCTCCATTTTTCCTCACCAACTTGGGCATTAGATGCTTTATAAATTAAAATGATAGCAATTTATTGGTCTATTAAAATTGTTATTCAATTTAATATTGGGTCATTAATCATTGAAACTGACTCCAGCATTTGCATCAAGTTTTTGCAGCATGAGGAGGACCCCCCATGACACATTGGAAGATGGTTAAGGAAAACACAAATGACTTTTGATAGCTACACAGTGAAATTTCAGCACATCAACATGAAAGGCAATGGGCCAGCACATCTTTTGGCCACCTCTGGTAGATGCTCTGAACAAGTTATTGTGGCAAATTTCCCAACTCCTGCTTTAGCTTATCTACTGCATGGGGATAATTTATGTATCCCTCAAGTTCACAACTTCTGAGGAGGATTTGTTTGTGGCCACACTTTTCAGAATAGCTTCAAGACCTTGGTGACTATTTTGATATTTATATCACTAACTATTGTTTTGTGTTATTTGATGGACTGATGATTCCTGTATTGATTCATCAAGCCCATCCTGTTGCTCTAGATTTTGCATATATATATATATATAATCTATGCTTTCTCATATCCTTATGATGAATTCAGGGTAGTCTTCTTTGTCCTTTTCCCTCCAATGAGATATGGTTTTGTGAAAAATTAATTTTATTTTGTGAAGTTTTAAATGTAAATAAATTGTGGCGATTCAAACTCCGATCTTTATTTACTTTTTGATCTGGCCAATTCAAATTTTAAAATTTGTTCAGAAACATAAGATCTGAAAGGCATACGCTTTCTCCAACAAGGTAAGAGTCACATTCAATTTCATGGGTGAGAATGTAGTCCATGGTGTTGCGTGCAAATATATAGGGAAATATACTTTGATGGGCATAGAATTGGAGATTTTAAAGTGATAATTAAAATCCCCAATTTAGTCCTGTTGCTTGGAAACTAAAGTGAGATTGTTAGCCCTTAGGTGTGGTGAAGTAAGAGCTCCGGAGTGGCACCCAGTATCCTCTTAACTTAACCACGAATTTAGGGACCAAACTCTTGATTACTCAAATATCTTTATACTCTCTCATAGGGTAAAGAAGAAGATTGTTCCTATTTGGCACAAACAATTTTATATGTATTTTAAGAGATTTTAATTACTTCACAATCCAAAAACTCATTGTAAAGGGGAAGGATGCTTTCTTAAATTTAAACTCTTCTTTACAAAGTTTAGTTTTTATAAGTTTACTTTTGAAGTTTAGCAAATAGCTTACTTAACCTAGTTCTTTTAACTGCATTTCATTTAGCATACAATAAATTTAATTTTGATTTGATTTGCGTACTTAAGCTTTCTAGTTTGAATATTGTGTTTTATATTATAACTATAAGAATTTCTAACTCCTTGTGGGATCAAAGCTTATGAATCCACTAGAGCCTTTTTTTTCTTGAAAGATATGTATACTTGCATTATTATTACGGTTTGGCAGCTTAAAGATTTTAAAAGATAAAATTATTTATAATGAATTAATTTTTATTGGGATTGAACTGCATATTTACTACTTGTGTTGTCGTGTGTGTGTTGTAATATTGAAAGGTATTTACAACTCACCACAAAAACTGTGCATAAAGTTTTTGGCATTATTGAGGAGGAGTAACGGTAAATTTCTTTGTAATTTAGAACAGTTTATTTGAACTAAAAAACTATTTGTTCTCTAATTAAATATTTTTATATTTTAGTATGTTTGCTTATTTTAATGGCTTATTGTGTTTGTGTATGTGTAGTTTAAGATCGGTAGGTTTAGTACTTTACGATTCGGAGTTATAAAGAACTATTAGAATAAATTAAAATTAACAAAAAGAAATAGATAATTTGAACAAAATGGCTACAAGCTTAAGTAATTCTGGAATTGAAAATGTACATCATCAAAGACCTTTAAGAGATTTTGCTAATCTACAGCAGATGAAATTTATTTGAGTATACAAAACCCTGTTGTAACTGCTAATTCATTTGAGCTTAAATCTGATATTATCCAAATGGTACAAAATAATCTTTTTGGGGGAACACCAACTGAAAATCCTAACTTACACCTTGCTAATTTTTTAAATTTGTGTGCTACATTTAAATATGATGGAGTGTCAAATGATGCCGTCAAACTTAGTTTTTCCTTTTTCATGAAAGGATAAAACTAAGGTGTGGTTAAACTCGTTAGTACCTAGATCAATCAGAACTTGTGGAGACTAATCACAAAAATTTTTATCTAAATATTTGTCACCGTCAAAAACTACTAAGACTAGAAATCATATCACATCATTTGTAAGTTTAAGGGAGTATCAATTTATGAAGCTTGGGAAACATTTACAGATCTCCTTAAAAAGTGTGCACACCATGTGTTACCAGATTATTTAATATTTTAAAATTTTTATAATGGATGGTTGGATCTCTTAGATCTATAATTGATGCTACTGTTGGTGGATCATTAATGTCAAAATCATTCATTGAAGCATATTCTTTATTTAAATAGATGGCCACTAATAATTATTAATAGCCCTCTTAAAGGGTAAATCCAAAAAGAGTAACTAGTATTCATGATTTTGATGCAATATCTATGTTGGCTGCTCAAATTATTGTAATATTATGGAAGATAGATCAATATGGAATGAATTATTCGCAGACACCTCCTGTGCTTGAAGAAAATTTATTGGGCCAAATGATAGATTCTCAATCTTTGTATGAGACTTTAAATGCAATAAACAATTAATCTAACAATCCTTATTCTAATTATTATAATTCTGGTTGGAAAAATCACCCAAATTTTAGTTGGAGTAATAATAACTCTAATGTTGTAAATCTATAATGAGCGACCAATGTTGCGAACCAATTGGGAAACTCCAACAATCAAGAAAATTCTAACTCTAAACTTTATTACCCTCCAGGTTTCAATATTAATTCA